CCTCCTCCTCCTCCTCTTCCTCCTCCTCCTCCTCCTCCGCCTTTTCTTCCTCATTGTCGTCAGACCCGCCCCCATCATCCTCGCTCGTCCTCCCCTTTCTCCCTCCCCGTCTCATCTCAAGCCTCCTCCCCCCTTGCTCTCCACATCCGCGTTCGCACCCGCTACATGGCCCGTCCTTTCATCCTCGCCCCCCTCGTCGGCCGCATCAGACTTGTCGTTATCGTCCCTCCGCCTCCTCCTCCTCCTCCTCTTCCTCCTCCTCTTCCTCCTCCTCCTCCTCCTCGTGTTCCACTTTCCCGTCGCCCTTCTCCATCTAGTCCTTTTGAGGTTGCACAGACATGGATCACAGATCGTCCATCTATTCCTCATCCCCCTTGTCCACCTCACCGCCCTCCTCCTCCTCGACCAGAAGGAATGTGGAGGAGTTTTTTGGGGGCAGCGCAATTTTGAAAGGAGAACCTGAGGCGAATGAAGCGCGACGAAACTCTGCAGTGCCTAAAGCACTAATCTGCACTGGCCCCGGACTCGGGACCCGGGCGGGGGGAGGGGGGGAGGAAGAGGAGAACGTGGAGGACGGTGAGGGAGATTGGGCAGCACGGTTGCCCCGAACGGCAGTCCCGCGAATCGGTTTCTGGCCCGTGCCGGACCTAAAAAAGCATTACACCAAACCAAAACCTCAATCAATGGATGGTTTTCGCTGAGGAGATCGACCGGGAACCCGGGAACCCGGGAACCCAAAACCCACCGAAATCGGCGCGGAACCAATAGCCAGGAACCCGGGAACACGGAACCGGGAACCCGGAACCCGGGAACCCAGCCTGCTACCAAAATCGGCGGGAGACTTTCGCCAAATCTTCCAACTTCTGCCGGGGCCCCTTCAGCGCAAGCACTGATTCGGAAGCACCAGCGCCTTGGAGCCAGCACATTTCTCGCAGGAGCAGCATGTGGTGCCGGGAGAGCAGAGCAGCACCGGCAGGAGGGGCACGCGGAGACACGAGGACGGGGGAGGCAGGAGGCAAGCGGAGCGGGGGAATGCAAGAGGGAGGGGACGATGAGATGAGAGGAGATGAGACGGCGCCTCGAGACAGTCGAGACGGAAGGGGCCAGCCCAATAGCGCACAGCGCTAGAGCGAGCTCACCCAACGCGCGGGCCAGCTCGCACCCTGGAGGTGGGTGGAGACACCCCCCAGCCACGACTCCCAGAGAGAGAGGCCCCAGCCGGTGGAGGCTGAGGGGTCAAGAGGGAGGGGACGAGGGGGCGAGGAGAAGGGAGGAGCAATGAGAGGACAGCCCGCCAAGGGTCTTCAAGACTGCAACATGACGATGGCAAGCGGCTCACATGCTTTGGGACCTGCGCTGCTCGCGCGCAGAACTGCTGGGCGTGGCGCGCCTCACCTTGCAATCACATCCTTGCGAGGCGGAAGGGCGGCCGAGCTTCAGATGCCAAGGTCTAGTGAAACCGGACAAAGTCGCGTGGCCAGAAGGACGCGATGAAAACAATCCAGCCACAGGGCACAGAGAGATCTGGCCAATCACCTGGGACGCAAGTGTACCTCCACTGTACGAGCTTGCACCATTGCTTGCGGGTGCCAGGCGGGAAAGCAGAGCCCCTAACGCAGCGCGCCCGTGGGAAGTGCGCGCTCTGGGGGGAAAAACACGTGGACCATCTCCGAGACCGAGCGCGGAAATGCCGCGCCGATCTTGGTCGCCGGCAATCTTGGCCAGCGTCACTTCGTGCGTCCTCGCGAATCGGCGAAGGCCGACATGGACCACGGCCAAGATCGGCAGGGACGAGATCCCGCGACGTCGTGGTCGTGGCCCCCGTGCTTCTTCACTCGAGGAAGAGCAGCGCCCCAAACGCCGCGCTCCCGTGGGAGGCGCGCGCACGGCGAGCGCGCGGCGACCGCGCTTGGCCGACGGCCTGCGGGAGCGCGCCGGGGAGAGGCCCTGCGCGCGGCGAGCCGCCTGCCCGGGGGACCCTCGGCCGGGGCACCCGCCCGGAGGAGGGCAGCGCGCCCTGCGCGCCCCCGGGGCGTCTCGAGGAGGGCGCCTCGGCGCACGCGAGGGCACGAATGCCTGCAATGCCAGATGTCGAAGCACAGGGGCAGCGATGCAACGCTGTGCTCGCACACACGCTCTGGGCACGCTTGTGCAGCTCATCTGGCCAAGGCTGCTTCGGCCTGCCCCAGGGGCGTGTGCCGTCCGGCGGAAACGTGGGCAGAAGAGATACCGAATTCCCAGACGTCGGATCTGCTGCACTCTGGCCACTTCCCCGACTCAACACTGATGAGGATCACCCTTGAGGCCTCGCGCGTCAACCTGAGACCCACTTTGCGTCGGACGCACATCGAATCTTCGCCGGAACATCGCCGCGCGGACGTCGTCCCCTATCTGACGGGGCGGACGTGTGGATTGGAGGATACAACTATATACAGGTACTGCGCGCCGCGCGAGGCCTCCAGGATCTTCCTAACAATAAAGCTGTATCGGAAATGCACCT